TTACAATGAATAGCAGGGAGGAATGCCTAGAGGTCATACGCGTCCTGAACTCGTATGTTCGCATCAATTTCTGATGTGTGATGGTGCAGTCATCAAGCCATATGTGACTATGATCAGCTGTTCTAAACTTCCTCATTGGAAGTCACGTAAAAAGCGGTGTTTTTCGAGAAGCCGTTGACCATGTAATTACACTTTTTGTAAGTGTTATTGAAGCGTTTGGCCCAGTAGATTGTATATCAGAGTACCCTTCCAGGCTCTGAAAGAAGGCGATACTGCCGAAACGTCAGCTACTGTTGTATTGTATTGTGTTTCTCTCCATGGAAGTAGTTAATTATGTTCGCCACAGAGAATAGAAGAGATAACAAGCAACAGAATCAAATCCGCTACACATTCTAAGGTGTCTAAATATAATTTTTCACTTGCACTCGATATGGTTTTGGCACTTTTGTGTGGAAGTATTTTCACGGTTTTTCTACTGTGGAGTATCCCAAGTTTTTTCACAAGGTTATGGGTGGAATTATTGGTTAGAAGAAGATCAAAATCGGCAAGAGGACTGAAGCATATATGAAGGTCGTTCAATTTTGCCTTCAATGTCTTCAGGAATGGTGAAAATAAAAAGCCCCCTACGGAAAAGGTGATACTTTTCGCGTTATCCGAACAAACAGAGCCGCTAAACAGCTCGAGTGCACGACAAGGATAAATGTGGAGCTTACCAGTATCCGTTCGGGTTATCTTGAAGGTTAACTCTGCATGTGTATGGCAGGAATCAATGGAATAAGTCAATTTTGTTTTCGAACATAGTGCAATTGGGAGTTTTTGCTGATGCCTGACAGATCTCCTTAAAATTCATGGGCTGTTGGGCAGAGGCTAATGATAAAATGTTAACTTCTCAATTGGTGCTCCGATTAAAAAAGGTTTCAAAGAAACTGCTTGATATTACCGTGACGATAAAAGCTTCAGTTGAGGGTATCGCCGGTAGTCTCACCACATTGCTTCTGCCGGTTTCCTTCTCTATCTAAACCGTAATATTATTTTCATGTAATAATTCCCACGACCGACTTTCTATTAACTTCGGCATTGATCGAATACTTTACGATATTCTTTTGAGCAAACACGAGTTGTTACTTTATTCTTTATTCCGTTATAGCCGATGTTTCGGCAGTATCGTCTTTTTCGGAGCCAGGTTCTTAGTCAGCGGGAGGCATGCAATAAACGGCTCTGAAGAAGGCTATACTGCCGAAATGTCAGCTATGACGGAATAAGGAATAAGGTAACACCTCTTGCTTGCTCAACAAGAATATCGAGCATTGTTTTCATGACTATTACTCCTAATACAATATTACTGTCATATTCTATCACACGTGTATTGCCATCAAATTAGTTATCATTTCTTTTTATCAATTCACTGCTGTTACTATGATCAATTATTAGTATTAACCCCTACCTCCTACGGATCTCTCTCATATGAAGGACTTCGATAGCTGGTTAGTTGCGAGGCTACGTGGTGCATCCCCAAGTGGCGGGTAGGGGTTAATCACGGACCATAAGCGACATTTGCTTCCCTGAGACGTAGGTGGATCCAGTGGATAGACTTTCTGTTTCTGCTGCGCCTATTTGGCACATACTTTCTGTATTTACGAAACGTATTCATGCACACGTGTGTGAGTGCGTTCTAGTTTATGCGGATTGCATTCTACGAGTCCGTTCGGTTAAAAGCCTGCAATCAAATGACTGGAAAGTATATGGGAGGCGGTTAAGAGTACCCTCCAGCAAATAAGCTCCATGTCCTCTCTGGGGGAGCCCGCCAACCTACCCGTGAGTATACCCAGCCCCCACGTCCAGAGCCCAACAAGCAATACGTGGGCATTAAAAAGCTAAAAACAATAAAAGAAACGGACCTCATTTCCCTTACCTTCGAAATAGCCCCTGATTGGGCGGCGTTAGGTAGAACGAATACGGAGAGGCTGCTTAAATCTCAGAACCAGTGGAAGCAGCCTGGTTCACGAAGAACTAAGGTGACGATCTGTAGCTGCTATGCACGTACACTTGCATCCGAGCCCTTGATATAATACTTGCTCATGCAAACAAGAAGGACAATGTACGACGTCATTGGCTTGTCCGAAACGAGAAGACGGGCAGCCTTTCAACACCATCTATGACACCGGAGAAGAACTGTTCCTCGGAACACGCGGCAGTAGAGTCGGCGGCGTTGGCGTTCTCGTCAAGACGAGTTTATCCATGAACATCGATTCATTCGAACAACTTACAACCCAAATTGGACGTTTACGATTAAAAAGATGTGGATCAAATCCGGCTTTGACAATCTTCGTCGTCTACGCGCTAATATCAAACTATGACGAAGAAGAAGTCGAAGCGTTCTATATGGACTTAGAGAAGTTTTACAGAGAAGACCACACATTCTTCAAGGTTATCATGGGAGATTTCAACGCCGAGATTGGACCAAGAAGAACGTCTGAAGAACGTCACATTGAGACCCTTGTATTAGAATGGAATGAACAGGGTGAGCGGCTCTCTGAGTTTATCATGACGACCAAGACAATCCATGGTAATTCGCAATTTCAAAAGCCCCACTCTCAGCACTGGACGTGGGAGTCTCCCAATGGAGAGTACCATAACAAAATAGACCACATCATGGTAAACAGAAGGTTTTGCCTAACCGTTGTCGCTGTTGTCTCAAAATGCTACACGGGATCAGACTATCGCTTCCGTCGTGCAAAATTCTATTGCAAGCGGAAAGGAGAGAAAGCCGCTAAATTCAAAAACCGGAGTCCCGGAACCATTACAAACTGTAACTTATTCAGTTCATTAGTCGGCTGTCGGAAGATGCCGTTGTCGATAACATCAACAAAAAATACGACCGGCTCATTCAACGTCTTACGTTAGCGCTATGAAAGCTGAGAGTTCGAAAGTCACCAAGAGACGTTTATCTCCAAAAACACTCGACCTGATACTTCAACGTGGAATCGCTCGAGCTGCAGTCAACCGCGAACTAACGTCCGAACTTGTAAAACAGTGCAGACAGGCGATAAAAGAAGATCTTAAAGGAAGAAGAGAAGCAGTAGTAGTAATGATTGAAGCTGGGAAAAGCGTTCGCAAAACCCACCGAAACTTCGCCAGTTACAGGAGCAAGATGACTGCACTCCGACGCTCAGACGGAACACTAACAGCGTCCTGATAAGCAATGGAGAAAATCATTCACGAATACTACTCGGATTTCTTCGATAGCCACGTCCTTTTTCTGAAATAAAGAAGGATGGATATGTTGTACCACCGGTTCTTCCATCCAAAATTCGACATGCCATTTCGTCGGTGAAAAGTCGAACAGCACCTGGTCCGGCCAGGATAAGACCAGAACACCTGAAGAACCTTCCGCTAGTCCTTGTAAACACACTGGCTCGGCTCTTCACACGTTACCTGTTTGAATGCAAGGTCCCTAATGATCAGTGGAAGACCAGCAAGACCGTATTATTGTTCAAAAAGGGTGAACTCCACGATATCAGCAACTACCGTGCAATCTGCTTGCTGCCTGAAGTCTATAAGCTTTCCACTCGAGTAATCCTGAACGGCATTGACATAACACTGGATGAAGGGCAGCCATGTGAGCATGCAGGATTTCGAGAAGGATTTAGTACGATGGACCATATCCGCAGGATAACAAGACTCATTGAAGTATAGCGAAAGTGCAAAAGACCGCTCTGTCTCACTTTCATCGATTTAAAGAAGGCCTTTGACTCAAATGAGATAGAAGCAGTCATGGAAGCCTTTGACAGTCAAAGAGACCCTACTCAATACATAAAGAATCTTTGTGAGGTGTACAAAAATTTCGCAACCAAGATATCACCATTCTACGACGATATTAACATTAACGTTAAAAGAGGAGTTAGGCAAGGCGATACCATCTCACCAAAATTATTTACCGCCACCCTCCAAAACGTCATGCGAACATTGGAATGGGATAATATGGGAGTGAAAATCGACGGTCGGCAGTTACAACATCTTCGCTTTGCTGATGACATCGTCCTTATAACACCAAACATTAGCCAAGCGGAACGTATGATTGCCGACTTTGATAAAGGCTGTGGAAGGATTGGTCTTCGACCAAATCTCACAGAAAAGATCTTCATGAGGAACGGATTGGTTCCGTATGTCCCATTCAGGCTCAACGGAACGAATATCTCTGAATGCTCCAGTTATATCTATATAGATAGGAAAATCAATATGATGAATGACCTAGCTTCAGAGCTGAGTAGAAGAAAACAAGCGGCCTGGGAAGCTTTGGAGAGCATAGAGGATGTGGTGAAGAGAACGAAGAACACCCGACTCCGTGGCCACCTTTTCGACTCAACGGTACTTCCTGCCCAAACGTATGCGTCAGAAGCCTGTTCGGTGCGTAAGCAGGATGGAAGGTCACTCAGCGTTATCGAACGCGCAGTCGAAAGGACGATACTAGGGATAGGGGTATCTCGTTCCATACAAGTAAGGGATGGGATCCGAAGCTCCGACTGCGTCAACGATCAAAAATCAAAGATGTCGTTCTGTACGCCAAACAGTCGAAGATAAAGTGGGTCGGACACGCAATGCGTATGAATGACAACCGATGGACAAAAGCCGTTATCGACTAGATTTCTCGGGGTGTCAAAAGTACTGCAGGAAGGCCACCGACCCGATGGTTAGAGCTCTTCACAAAGAGCCTTGAAAAAAGATATGATACTCGACGAGTCCCTAGATCGAGCAGAACCCATTGGACTACTCTTGTATGCGTCAGAGAAAAGTGGAAGATTTACTGGCCACCCGTTAGAGTCACTCGACGGTCAACGGGACTACAGGTGATACAGGCAACAAGTGAACCCCTACGTCTTATTTTGTCGTGCAATCAGAGAAGGGGTGGGGGCGGTGGGGTGGGGTTGCGTTGACTGCAGCACAGAATGTTACGGAATTGATAAATTGGCAATCACCATTTAATGAACGAGTTTGCAGCGTTATTTCCATGACCATAGGAATGTGAAGAAAGAATTAAGAAAATCGTTAAATTTTACCTCTTGCAAATCATAGGTACCCGGATTGCTGATCATGTCCACGAAACTTTTGTCAAGTCCTGGGAAGATTTTATGGTGGCTAAATTGCTATTTTAAGATAAATAAGTCAATTTCAATGACTTGTCCGTCTCACCAGTCGCTAGAAGGGACCATCGAGGTTTCGGAAACACCGTCCTTGCACACAGTGCCGATTAAGACAGAGTCCTTTGTCAACGTCAGCCGCAAATCACCAGATTTCTCCAAATCAAATTTCTTAGTGACAATCACAGTACCTTGAAATATACGGAATAAACATAGGCACGGTCCAAAGTCCAATTAAGGTGTATCCGCAACATTGTGCAAGCATTTTTAGTTTGCAAATGGTCACCCCATCACAACAGATTTTCTGGGTTCTGAAAAAAGTGAGAGAGATTGCTGTCAAGTCTTACAACAAAATCTTCAGTTCTTCATTTATTTAATAAAAAGAGCGGCATCCTGCATCGAGTGTTAAGTGAAAAATATCCACTTGCCATTAACAAGCTTGATGATTCCTGGTAGCTGGACAGAAGCACGACCGCTGTAGCACGACGGCTTCCCGTTGACGTCATACGTTTGCGCGATGACGTTTTTTGCACGAATGTAGAGCGCTTCTGTAAAGTTGCAAGAAGGTGAAGTGTCGTTTGGGAAAAAACAGTTTGAAGCCTTAATAAGAAAGGATAAAGCTCTCGACGTTGATCAATCCTTGAAGGATGCGCCATGCATTCGACTTCATTAAGTATCGTTTGGAGGTGGTTGAATGCATATTCGGTCTCCACAATGACTTGCGGTGGCCTACCGATGTATCGAGCCAGTGGTACTATTTTCCCAGACAAGTCTGGTACCAATTTGCCAACCCTGGAGGGATGGAAGGCTTGGTAATCTGTGGGCCTGGGGTTTCCACGTGTGTGTTGTAGGACTTTTTCGATCACTGCGCCGCATTCTCCCTTTTGAAGTTTGAAGCCTTAGTCACCGTAATTATACTCAATGATTTTTCCTCATTTATACCGTGCCGGAGAAATCTATAAAATGACACGTATCTGGCTTCAAAATTGTTACTTCTAACCGCAGGAGCGTCGAGTTTTGTTCACATCTCAACTTCTTTGTGGTTGTTCTTCGCCTAATATTCTGCTATGGAGAAGAGATAGGTATTAAATAGAAATTAAAACGTTGTCATTTCTAATATGATGTAAATCTCATCCTCCTTAACCCTTACAGGATTTTTAATGACTTATGTGGGACAATCATACTGCAAGAGCAGCCGTGCGTTCTCCTGACAAACCGCAAAACAATTAATCAATTATTTCAAGATTTTTTTATTTTGCAGAGAGATACGATGGCCATGATAACACTCCCCTACTCTATTCTGACAAGTGCTTAAACTTTGGGTGGACATTGAAGAGAAACAGGATTAAAATAAGGCTTTGTGTAATTTTCACATTTAGTTTTACTTCGTGATTTGCTCGATTTCTGAATGTGCACTGAAAGGAATAAATTTTCAATAATTATAGTTTGGACAACTACCAACTTTCGTTGCCGACGTTGTCCAGGTCGAAGACGTTGTTGACGCCGTCCACACATGGACCGCTACTGGTTGCAATTGGCATGAGTGGAGGAGCAGCAATGGTGATTGTTAGCACAGCCGAATAGATCAGAAGTGACCGCATTCTGAAACAATCTGCGCTTTTGGATTTGTCACTGCAGGTCGGAAAGTTAGTAGAGTTAGGGTGCTGAGCAGCCCGAATACGGTTTTGTGATCAGCAGCAGGTTATATAACTGTCTTTATCAGTGATTCCTAATTTTCTACAGTGCTCAGAAGTGGCAATACTGTCTTATCATCACGCGACAAAGCGAGGTGCACTGTTAATTTCGATGAATTGCAAAAACTTATGAGAGTTAATGAAACGGTTTCATGTGATGGCAGAGAACTACAATAACTCCCTGCCGTTAAAAAAGGAATAGGAAGTAAATAAAACGGTTTAGATTGTGATTATAACTGCAGCCTCAGCTTAACTGAGTTCAATTCCGATTTGGGCTCCCCAGATCAATCCCGTTGACGGGTGATTGCTGATGGCAGAAATCGATAGAACTAGCTGGTCGATAGAATGATCGATAGAAGCACACCATGCGGGTCCTTCGTTTCGCCTGTCTGTCAGCTAGCCAAAAAATAGCTGAAAAAACTACCTGGGAGACAGGCGAAGCGAATGACCTGCATGGCGTGGTGGTGAACGCGTCACTCCCAGGAAAGGAAAATAACGCATTCGTTCCCCACCGCAGACACCTACGGTCCGAATATTGTAAACATCTCAGCATCATGAAAGTTATATTTCGCAATGTATGCCCTACTGTTAAAAAAGAATAGGCAGTAAATAAAGCGGTTAAGGTAACTATTATTGTTATTGTCATTATCTCGTCGACTCAACGGTACTTCCTGCCCTAACGTATGCGTCAGAAACCTGGTCGCCTCGTAAGCAGGATGAAAGGTCACTCAGCGTTATCGAACGCGTAGTCGAAAGGACGATACTAGGGATAGGGGTATCTCGTTCCACACAAGTAAGGGATGGGATCCGAAGCTCCGACTTCGTCAACGATCAAAAATCAGAGATGCCGTTCTGGACGCCAAACAGTCGAAGATAAAGTGGGTCGGACACGCAATGCGTATGAATGACAACCGATGGACAAAAGCCGTTATCGACTAGATTTCTCGGGTTGTCAAAAGTACTGCAGAAAGACCACTGACCCGATCGTCAGAGTTCTTCACAAAGAGCCTAGAAGAAAGATATAATGCTCGACGAGTCTCTTGAGCGAGCAGAACCCACTGGGCTATTCTTGCACGTGACAGGGAAAAATGGAAGATTTACTGACGCCCGCTCGAGTCACTCGACGATTAAGGGGACTGCAGGTGATACAGTTGACAGGTGATCATTAGCTCTTATGAGAGGTGCAGGTAGTGGAAGGGGCACGTGTAGTGCAGTGGTCGAAGGCGCCTTGTAATACACATTATATCAATCTCTGCGTCCTAGGATCGCCAAGCTTTCCATTCCTCCAGGGTCGACAAATTGGTAACAGACTTGTTTGGGAGGCTAGCAGCGCTGGCTCGATACATCGGTAGGTCAACGCTGGTTTTTGCAAAGGCCAGATGTGCATCCAATCGCCCGCCTCCAACGATGCTTAATGAAGTCGAATTCTTGGCGCGTCGTCCCTCAAAGATTGATCAACGCCAAGAGATTTGTCCTTAATTTATCCATTTTATCATTATCCACCATTATTATCATTGTCATCACTATTTCGTCAACTCTCGCAGGTGTTTACCGCTTCTGTGTAGCGGTAGGATAGTATTGGTTCTTAGAGCTGCACTCAAGAGAATAGGAATTATCAACTTTTCCATCTCGAAGATCAGCTTCGAGTAAATCAAGTAGCTTCGCTATTTTGAAGAAAACCGAGGAAGCACATTTCCTTTCTACGAATTGTGGTGACTTTTCGGCGAACTTCGTTATTCGGATGAAAAAATGTCTCTAAAACAATAAAAAGCGGTTGTATGAAAAACGTCACGGGTTTGAAATAATTTCTCTTAAATATGAGCTGTCCAAATATTCAATTAAAAATTATTATGCGCTCATTTATTGTACTTGGTTGAGTCTGAGTAAAAGCTAAAGAACAGGTCTTTCCACTTCTGCTCAGCAAAGACGAGGTGCTATTCCACTTCCCCACTCACGTAAAAGCTGACGTTTCGGCGGATTTCGCCTTCCTCAGGGCCGCTTTCTATGAGTCTTCCACTGAGTAGCGTAATTCACGACATTACGCTTCCATGTGAATTTTGTGCGGTTGGTCTTCACACGACATACTCAGTGGAAGACTCATAGAAAGCGGCTCTGAGAAAGACGAAATCCGCCGAAACGTCAGCTTTTACGTGAGTGGGGAAGTGGAATAGCACCTCGTGTTTGCTGAGCAGAAGTGGAAAGAATTGTTCAATCAATGCCGAGGTTAATAGAAAGTCGGACGTGGGAGTTACTAAAGAGCAGGATTGTCACTATAACACTTCGCTCCTTCTTCAGTTAATCGTTTGAATAAATTATGTGGCTCTGCACATTCCTGCTATAGAGATGGCCGTATTCCTTTGCCGACCAACTGATCAACTTTTTTATAAATTTTTAAATTCTGTCTATTTAGCAGCATCTGGTTCATTCTGCGTTGCTGCAGTGTGCAGTATTCATTCAACTATCAATTGTGCGTCAGGCCAGCAGTTACCAGCTTTTGCGTCTCACCTTCACTGGTCTCTGAGACTCAGTTTCACTCTTCCCTTTAAAGTGTGCTTCCCATTGGTTTCGTACATCGCAGAGATTTTCTGTGGTTTGGAGGATTTCTTCCAGTTCACTTGCGCAGTGGTTCAAGTGGGTATGGGTATGGCGATACATTTCTGTATCGTACATTGTTTCTTTTCTTTTGTTCTAATGTTTGACATTTAAAAGTGTTTTAGAAGAAGAAGTGTTTCTTAAGCTGATTGACACTGAAAGGGCGTATGGAGATGTTGATACGATTGTGCGAGATGATAATACGATTAAACATTCCATTAGAGATAACAAGACCGCTTCTCAATACTGTTCGCTGACAAAGCTCCCCATGCTTTAATTTGCATTGCTGCAGCAGAAGCCGATGGCTGATTATGGATTACGGCCACGGGCTTGCTGGTTTACAGGTAATTGATGGATTTAAGGGATGGGAAAATGGCAGAATAATAAAAGGAAGTTTGCTATATCGCTCCAATGGTAAGAATTATAGCCATGTTACTATTTATAAATGTTACTATGGTCAATCACACAAATACTTTGCTGTCAGCACTTGGAAGGGTTTTGGTAATTATACTATTTCTATTTCTGTGATCTTCAGCTTAATTTTTTTCCACGTTTCACGACCTTGTTTATAGTTACTGGAATTAAACAGTAGTTAAAAACCAGCATAATTACCAGCCAATGAACATAGCCGACGGGTTTTTGTAATTTTTTAGGAGAAGAGAACAGTTTTTCTCGGGATACCGCTGACATGGTGTGCTATGACATGGACAAGCCATTGATGGAGTGCAAAAGGCACTCTAAGCTCTGTACAGCAAACTAATCTACTGATTAGGAAATGCATAGGATAACATGCACGTAGTCCAATTTGCTCTACCACTTATGATAACATGTGGCGCATTTATGGCTGACGTGTTCAAATCCAATCGCGCCTGCGCTCGCTTTGTGGTAATCAGGAGGCGTTGAAGACTTAACTCTTTTTTAGAAAAGACATTGTTTCATCGCTTTGAGGATATGCATAGTTTTTGATTCAAATATTTAGAAAGTCCAAGAGAGCACGTTTGAGTTACAGACATATGTTAACATGTTTACAGACATAAACAACTGCTCAGTTCTAGCAATTCGTTCGGGAGCACAAGTGCTCATTTCCGTTGAGTGTTTCAGGAAGTTCAACGCCAAATTAATTGTACCATCTGAGGATTTTTGTGGCGAAGTATTCTGTTTTTTTACTTCGGCTAAACTCTTTAGCCCTTTCATTTCTTCGTTATACATATTCAGAGATATAACAATAACCGCAAGTAAAAAAATTTTTAGTCGCTACACTCTCAAGAATTCACACAAGCTGTTTAAAAGGCGAATCAGGCTACCGTTTCTTCACTTTTTTCTTTTCTCTCTTTTTACTGAACGAAGCGTAAAGGAATTCTCTAATGAACATCTCGCCTAATGCACTTAGATGGGAAACTCATTAGCGATCACTGTTGACGACGCAGATCCTGAATGGAGATTGTTCCCTCCATCTGTCAGAGACTATCATTGTCTCAATGCGGCAAAACGATAACAACGTTGAGAAAACCACTTAATATTGCCATTCTGAGAAAGTGACCTGGTTTTTTTCGAGATTCTTTGATTTACAAATGCCCGTTGAAAAGTACCCGAAAGTTTGGTGTGTGACTTTATTTTCTTTATAACGTTATAGAATACAAGCGAGTAGTTGCGTAATAAATTTCGAAACAAGAGAAACTCAGGAGAGCTGAGCTACTAGGGATACGATGATCGAGCGATTACCATGAATTTGGCGTTATCTTCGCCCAACCAAACGTTTCCTTTGTCGTCCGTCTTGTAGCCGTTATTCTATAACCAATCAGTTAAAAATAGTAACAAACAGAAAGCACTAAACAGTACAATAGCAGTAATGAACACCAGTGAAATTCCAAACGCTGTTTCACAGAAATATTCCAACTGAAGAAATTGACGTTGTTATTGCGTTTCTGGTATTACGACGTATTAAGTATTACGTATTACGAGTATTACGACGTATTTCTAGTATTACGAATTCTTAGGAGATCCAGTGAATATCGCGCCGGCAGGGCCTTCCAAGCTAAGAAGGAGTCGGACGTTTCCATCAGGAAGCGCAGCTAAAAGTAAAGCAATACCAGGATCCACCACCGTGCTGGCATCAGGCTAGTCGCACGTTGTCAAATCTTCCTCTGTTCCACAAAGGCTCCGACTGCTTGTGGTGGTGACTACCTTCTTCAGGCTTTCGCCAGGCTGACCTCGGGACTCCAGGGAACCACAGTGGCTAAACCGGCCAATCTCCGAAAAAATGGAAAATATGCTGAGGCCCGCACAATCAGCGAAGATGAGCTATCCAAATATCCAAGTAACCGTCGTGGTGATAACATTTTAGATAACTCTATACATCTCAACGACTAATATTTAAATCGTCGAAAATCGAAACATAAAGCGTTCACTGTTGTAGTTTTTTTGACACCTAAAGAATCAACTTTGTTATGGCCTCTGAGAGAATGTAAAAAAATGATATTGGCAAAACTATTTTTAAAAAGTTGCATAGATAATGAATCCAGACGGAAAGCAACGAAAGCGGTAGGCAGACAGAATGTTGCAGAAATTTACCTCGGGCTAGCGACTATCCAACTCTTATGAAGTTTACCTTCACTGTGAGAAAGCTCCATCCGTGCACTCTTTTTGGCCTACTATATGCTTTTGTAAACGAAATTAGAATGTGGTGGTGACCGGCGACAAATTCGTTGAGCAGACGAAGCGACATACTTTTCCTGTGCTGAATTCTGTACTTATGGTGTTCTAGGCTTCCCTCACGAGCCTTTCTTGATGCTGCTCATCGTGCTTGCTGTTCTCTCTGTTAAAATGTGTTTTTCGCAATTGCCCCTCTCTGCTTATGTTCTTCTCACTTTGTTAAGCCTTTTGATTACTGTTACTGGCTCACGTGCACTTTTCCTTGGTGAAAGAAAAGTGTGATAAAGGTTTTCCGTCAACACGCGCACCACTTTTGTCACCACTTGAACTTTATTCCCAGAGGAGAACAGCTTTGACGAGAAGGCGTCGATCTGTAAAACCCTTTATAATGTGAAATGCAACTGTCGTTCGCCGAATCGGCGAGCGATGCAGAAGGGGTCATACTTCCTGTCGAGTGCTGACAGTATCGTACTCGGCAAAGGCGAGGCTCTGACACGAGAGTTTGCAGGAATTTTCGGTGAACACTCAAACACATTGCTATGAGAATTGAAATAAGACCAATGAAGTGTAATCTTTATTTTTTTACCCAACAACTCGCTTTCGTTGGCACATCACGATAGTCGTCATCTAATCAAGAGAGCAATTTGGCTTTTTTGCCAATCAAGCAGATCGCAGTGTTCGATGCAGAATTCCTCTAAATCCCTGTGATGAATGAAGTGATTTTTCCTCAAGATGTCATCTCCATAAATGATTTCGTTATAACTTTATGGATGTTCACAAATCGTTTCCAGCCTGTCCTTCAATGGAATGCTCGAGACTATAGAATACCTTGCGAAAATGTGGAATGTCGAGCACCGGACGGTAGGTGCCAGCGCTGGAAATCGAACCCACTGTTGCCCTTTCAGGGACTAACTTTCAGGGACACCACTATCCCATGCGGTTCCTTCGTTTCGCCTTTCTCTCAGCCGTGTTTTAATATAGACGTGCTATGATCTGTCAACGGAATTGATCTGGGGAGCACAAATTGGCATTGAACACTGTTAACCTAAAACTGTAGTATAAACCACAATGCAGTCACTTTTTATTTACCGTCTATTCTTTTTTATAGCAGGGCGTGATGTGTGGTGGTGAACACATTAGCTCCGGAAAGGATAGTAGCGGGTTCGATCCCAACCGCAAGCACAACTGGTCCCGAGTTTTGCAATATCTTCTCGTAATTGTGGTTATACTGCAGTGACTTCAACTTTGAATGTGTTAGCTGCGGACAATAGAGCAACACCTTCATTCAGCTGACGCAGAGCGATTTTTTTTCGACAACATAACGTTGACAGGCTAGTTAACTCGTCGCAGCTTCAAGCTCGGTGTTTACGAAACTCGTTATCCTAAAGGAAGTGGAGCTGGTGTGATGGCTACAGAGAAATGCCATAGATAAATGGATGCACGGCATTCGTGGTGCTCTGGTTCATTCTTCCTAGCCCACGTAGCTGAATTTTTCTTTGGAGCTCTAAAATAACTGTTATTGGTCGTTTCCAGGTCTTATTAGATCCATTAGAAGGTTTGTAGATCGACAGAATATTTCACGCTTCGCGACTAGGAGTTTCCAGTCTGGTAATCAGTAGTTCTCACCTTGAAATATTCCAAATAATAAGGCGGCCCGGTTGGCGTTTGCTGAAGGAAATTTAGCGGATTCCATGGATTGAAGAGCAGTTGAGCCAGGGTCGTGGCAAAGAGTAACATGTAGAAAACCATGTTCACCAGACGCATGATTGCTGAAACGTAAAAGATAGAAGCGGCAGCTAGTAATCAGCAAATTATTTCGAGCTGTGAAGAGAGAATAATGGTAGGAAAGTGGGAAATTCTGTGAGGAATCTTTGAATTGATTCAAAATCTGTTAAATTTGAAGAAATTAGCTAGATGATATTAAATTAACCACAGTGATCTTGTGCTATTTTCAAAACTCCTGATGTCAGATGTTTGCGGTGGGGATAAAATACGCTATTACCATTTCAAGTGGTTACGACGTTTACCACCACACCATGCGCGACCTTTCGATTCACCTTTCTCTCAGCTAGTTTTCTATCTACCAGTGCCATCAGCCTCATCTTAACTGGCTTCAATGCTGATGTGGACTCTGCAGATCAACCCCGTTGATGAGTGTTTGCTGATGGAACTAGTAGATAGAGAACTAGCTGAGAGAAAGGAGAAACGAAGAACGCGTATGGTGTGGTGGTGAACGCCTTAGCCCGCAGAAATAGTAACAGCGTTCTCGATCCACACCACAGACTACCATCCGAAGTTTTGCAAATATCTCAGCATCACTGTGGTCGATTTCGCACATTGCTGTACCGTGAAAAATGTAGTGGGCAGTAAATAAAAAGGTTAACATTGATATTGAATTCGTGTAAGCTCATCAAAGAAAGAATACATATTGAATTAGTTTCGCAAAAGATATTTACCACCTTTTGCTTTCGTGGAGTTCTAGTTGACCAAATTATGAGATTAGCTCATCCAACGTGATGCAAAGAATTTTCGAGATAGTTTTAGAAAGTTCCAGCTTTATTTAGAGGCAATCGTTTGGTGTTCCGCAAGGATATTTCAGCCAATGATTCTTCCAAGCGTCAAAAAAGTAGCGAATGTCTTCCACAGCGCACCGAATGGTCTGACGACTATTTGCTGCAAACCATCATGTATTTAGTTCAAGTCCACATTTCATAATTTGTGTTCTTAGTTTGGCTGTGTTGTTCGGTGAGAAAGACCAGCGCATAGATTTTCACGCTTTCTGTTTTGGTAGGAATATGGTAATTACTGCGCAGTGCTTGAGGTAGGAAATTACGAATTTATTGCAGCAGCTCCAAAATTACCCCTCCACTAACCTTCTTGACCTTAATTTTTATATTTTTATTTTATATGATCCGTCTTCACGTCTGCTAATTCCAGTATTTCTCATATTCGATTCGTTTCCTCGCATCCACTGTCGACGAAGACCTTCCAACGTTATGTGTGGGGCTTCGGTTGCTTCTTGACGATTTTCATTTCATTTTGAATGTCGTAGAATGCTGGTCGAGGAGTTTTCTACGGCGTCCTGAGATAGCTGGGCTGGAGCGTTCTCAATTGGGTTTCAGAGTGTGATTTTTTCCAGACAAGTCCGGAAGCAATTTCCAGACCCCGGAGGAATGAGAGGCCTGGTTGGCCCGGAGCAGAATCGAACTAGCACCATGCTCGTGATGACAGGCCACTGTGCTATCTCCTCCCCAATTAACTTGATCTTAATAGAGTTTGTATAAATAAGTACATGTGAAACCACAAGCATATGTAAACGGCATCGAGAGAAACAATAAGCGACTAAAATTTTTGTGCATTTCTAGTAGTTTTGTAGGTTACTGGAGACGTGAAAAACGTTTAAACGTTTAAGCTTCTTTAAGACCAGAAAGGCTAGTGACATGGACGTTAGAAATCAATCAGCGTCTTTTATATTGTTTGAATTTCGCCGAAATTTTATGGCGAGCGCCGTTGTCGTAAATTCGGCAGATAACATGGTAACTACTACTGGCGCTAATTTGGAAAGGTTTCCGTGTTTACCAAAGGTTCAAAGGTTGCCAGTCTAATTGTTTTGATTTACATTAAGAGCGGAGGATCGAAGACTTGTGAATCAATAATTGGACGTTTTTTTTGATGAGCAAAGACGAGGTTGTTATTAAAAGTAAAGGATAAAGCTTTCGGCGTTGATCAATCCCTGAGGGATGCGCATGCATTCGACTTCATTAAGCATCGTTTGGGTGTGATTGAATGCATATCTGGCCTTTACAATGACTCGGGTGGCCTACTGATGTATGGAGCCAATGCGGCATCCTCTCAGACAAGCATGGTACCAATTTGCCGACTCCGGAAGGAAGGAAGGCTCAGTGTGCCAAGAACGCGGGAATTGATCTCATGTGTATTGTAGGGCGCCTCCGACCACACGCGCCACACAAGGTTGTTATTAAAGCATTTATTCACTCCCAATAGCTGACGTTTGGTGGGTTTCCTGGGAAGCTCGCTGAAACACTAAGCAGACATGAGCACCAGGAAATATGGGTATATTAACACAATCTCCGTTTTTCCGAGCATTTTTTAGACAGTAAGATCCTGACAGCTATGCAAACATCAAGCTGCTCATATTTTTGAACGAATTTTTCAGAATTAGGAATCGAATTAAACATTATTGTGAGAGAAAGTTAATTCTAATCTCAAGGTGGTCCGAAAATGTGGTACACGACAGGTTCAAGAACTAATGAAATTAGGAGCTATTGGATTATCAGTTGGCGCTAATAGTGAAGAATTTGCGGTAATTCCTCGTCAGTTAAATGTTGAAATAACAGAAAAACATCTTGGCGACACTTCCCTTTATCGCGAATCGTCTGGAAAAATTGAATTCCCAATTGAATACAGAAAAATATACCCGGAACGGGTCAAAGCAGCAAGCACCGCAGGTTTAAACCATCGGTTATTTCGCAAGTTAGAATTTAATGAGCAATACGTCTCGTTTTCTACACCTAATTATTAAAACCCCTAAGTTAGCTAGGTTATGCACTGATGATCTCTCATCCACCGACTCTTCAACGTTTAGGGCTAGACCCACCATCAGTTGAGTAAACAGGCCTATAGATAGAATAGATTGGTTAATGAATAAGGGCTAATTGTTATCCAGTTGGTGAAATACATCCCAGGTCATCTCATGATTAGACAAATGTTCCTGGATTTTCTAAGTCACGCGCCTCCTAACACCATGTACGTGACGGAGTCTTTCGACAAAACCGTCTTTTATAAAAACGTGTAGAACGACTTCGCAATACAAGCCATCCTCAAGCTTCTTATGTAACAGGAAGAAGCAATAAACATTTATGGCATCTCGATTCGGCAACTAAGAGTCCTCTTATAAGAGTATCTAAATCGCTCAATCTTCAGGTGCTCCAGAGTATTTAAGGTACAAATTAAAGGATTGGTAATGGACAGCGACAGGCACCAAGCCTTGTCATTTCGCTCATGTCTAAAGCGGAAGCGCCAGTAACCGATCCCCGGCCATTGCTCCAGATATATAGATGAATACTTTGTCATTTTTATCATATTTTGGCCTATAAAATCAACAATCAATATGCGTTAATTTTGTCCAAAACAAAACAGGCTTCCATTTCTGAATCTTCAAACTAACCTATCCGAAAAAGACTACATCACGAAGTGATACGGAAAGCCAAGTAGCATGAACATGCTGGCTCATTTCTTGTCCTCTCAGGCTTCATAAACAAAAAAGCGCTTGTAAAAAACATGTCTCGAAGAGACACCAGTGTTTGCAATGGAAGAGAGCAGAAAGAAGAATCCCTGAAATTGGAGTGGCAAAATTCATTTCCATTTGCTACGAAACTGTAGTTTCTCGGATTTGGTGTGAAGTACAATTCCAGCTGGGATAAGAATCACCAGTAAAACGTCGCTTAAGAAGTGCTGATCTACAAAATTCAGTAACAGTGATTGAAATACTACCGAGCACTCAAAGACACCAGCCAGTTCGCAGCTACGTGTATGACCTCCTATGCACGATGCATAATTGCATTATATGCCCCGACGGTAGAGACGCTGTTTCCATGAGTTCGGGTACGATGTTCTCGATCTCTTGTAGAGGGTGCAGAAACAATTACGTTGACGAATTAGATGGACTACTCTGCGTCCGTATAAGGGAACATCTAGTCGGTAAACTTAAGATTAAACCAAATACTACCTTAGGTACGGTCACAGTGACATACTTACTTAATACTTGAATGGCCCGTCCTCACTGATTGTGCGGGGTCCAGCATAATCTCCATTTTTCGGAGGGCCCTCAGGCAATAATCCAAAACATCCCTACCAAAACTGTCAAAGTACTCCGGATAAATTCGAGAAATGTGGAGGTGAACAACGGAGGGGAATGCCTCGCTATCACACCGGTCTCACAGAATATCGTAGACTGACATTTTTATGTGAGGGAGGCACACTACGTTTCCATGTGAGCTCTGTGCGATTGGTCTCCATTTGAAATACTTGGTAGATGACCCAAAGAAAGCGGTGAGTGCGCGAAGAACCTGTTTTGTTTTCAACGCGATTGAAATCTTGGTTTAATATTCCCTGTATTCGGTTATGCAGGCTTTTGGCTGCGTAGATTATAGTCAACTAGACCTTTCCAGTCTTTAAAGAAGGCGAAATTCCCTGAAAAGTCAGCTTAGGAATAAAGCAACACCTTGTGTTTGCTCATCGAGAATATGGTAAATTATGTGATGAATCCCGATGTTAATAGAAAACCGTTTTTTGGAATTTGTCGAGCACTTGTCGGGCTTAGAAGCGATCCGATTCCTCTTCACTTCACGTCCTACCATTATGATTACAGCGTTCAATGACCAAAAACTGTTCCGGCAAATATTTCGGTTTAGAGTAGAAAATTCAAGAATTTTTCCCACTTGCATGACCCAATAGTTCGATACTTGGATGGTTGTCTTCATCGGTTGCGCGAGTTCCAGCATAATTTCCATTTTTCATAGTTTTGCTGATTTAGCCACTGTGACTTCCTGGAGTCCTGAGATCGGCTTAGCCAAAGTCTTCCCAGGTATTCACCACAATGAGCATTCGCTGCCCTTGTGGGTCAGAGAGAGATATGCCACCATGCGTTTAGTTTGATACCAGGACGCTGGTGGATCCTGGCATTAGTTTACTCTTAACTGGGCTTCCTGATGGAAACGTCGATCCCTTTCTCAGTTTTATAG